CCCTCCTCCTCGTCCTCCTCCTCCTCCTCCTTCTCATCCGTTTTCCTCCTCCTCCTCCTCCTCCTCCTGCTCCTCCTCCTCCTCCTCCTCCTCCTCCTCCGTCTCCTCCTCCTCCTCCTGCTCCTCCGCCGTCTTCTGCTCCTCCTCCTCCGCCTCCTGCGCCTCATGCTCCTCCTCCTCCTCCTCGTCCTCCTCCCTTCTGATGCCCCGTCGCGCCCCGAAGCCGCGTCGAGTCTGTGACGACTCCGTGCCGGACTCGTCGAAATCGCGTCGACCCCACGTCGAATCCGCGTCGAATCAACGCCAAGTCCGCGCGTCGAGTGCGCCTCGAGCCCGCGTCGGGCACAAGAGGAGACACCAATTCCGGGGACAGACGATAAGACGAAGCCAGTACGAGGACAAAATCGTAGGCTGATAAATCGAGGATCTCTGAGGTCAGGCGGCTCTGCAGGATGTCTCGGGCGCCGCGGCCTTCTCGGAGCGTTCCAAAACGCACTGAGAGCGTGCCGTAACGCTCTGGAACGGACTCATCCTCGTCCTAGCCCCGTGCGAAAAGGGGGGGAGTTCGCACGAGCGGCAGCCTGGTCCGTGCGGAGCGGGCATTGGATACGGCCGGACCTAGGACATAATAACATCCTTCAAGAACATGAGACCCTCAGCTGGCCAAACTGAAGAGCATTCGAGGGTACCCTTCCACAGGATGCACAAGAACATCCAACAATCAGGAAGAGCACTAAGGCACCCTCCCCGAACCGACCTCGATCTTTTACCTCGGTCCGGCCATAAGGATCCCTAGGATAAGGAGAAATCCAGGGTCCAGAAGCCGTTGGAGCTCCCATCGTGGGCTGGCCATGGACATCACTGCCGTCCTCATCGGGTAAGGAATCTTCCAGGGTCTGAAGCCTCATGGGCACACTCCTGAACGAACACCCCCACCGTGTCCACGCCCTCGCGGTTCGGGTGGATGGTTTTGGGGGGTGACCCCAATGGGGGGTGAAGAAATGGCCTCCCTCCCCACTACGAGGGGTAGCGCTAGGGGGGGACTGGCATAGGGGGGGGGGGCACATCGACCTGGAATCGACGACACATCGCCGATGGATCGGCGATATGCCCCCGATAGTGCATCCGCACGCTTGTGGGCAGGTCGGGGCTATCGGGCCTCCACAGATGGAATCAAGCTGCAAATCTGGAACAACTTGATTTGTAGGGTGCGCGGCCCCAGAAACAAAGCCCACAGACCCAGGGAACCAAGTTGCGTGTTGTGTTAGCTGTTGATCTTTGTTTTTCGTTGTGCTTCCCGCATTGGCTGACTGTGCAGATACAACGGAAAACAGTTCCCACCTTTAGAAATCTAAGATGTTCATAGAACAGCATGGGGACGCCACTGATTTTCGATGTAAGGAATATTAAAGATGTGTTTCCGATCTTTGTTTTGGCTGTGCAGGCACAAGATAACAAAAAGGTCGGGAGTTGTTTAATCGAGCAAGTATCCCCTACATTAAAAGAAATGAAAGCATCGGGATTTTCATGTGAAAACCATTGACCTGGAAACGTCGAACCTGGTGTTCCCTTTGCCTGCACATTCGAAACCAATGCGGGAAACACAAAAAACAAAACGAACAAACAAACAACAACACAATACACATATATTTGTTCAGAGGCCCTTGGGCGTCGGTTCCGGAGCCGCCACACAAGGGAATCACATTGTAAAGTGTGCCACACATTCATTTCAATGGGTGAAGCCCCAGAACTGTGGAGACTCTAAGCAACGGCTCTTTGGGTGTGTGTGTGTGTGTGTGTCGCGAGAGCTTCAGGAGGTCTTTGAAAGAGGGATAGTACGTGCATGTTTGCCAGTGCAGGAGAGGCCGAAGAAGACAACCAAAAAACGCTTCGATGTTGCTGGTCGGGGATCACCGCTTCAGCGCGTGGCCATTTCAATCTAACTCGCGCGCTTGCATGTCGCAATTGCAAACGTTTGCCGCTGCAAACGAAGTTTTTTTTGATTTTTGGGAGAGGGGTCAATTATGCGCATGTTAGCCAATTTCGGGAACGCCTGAGCACGCTAAACTGAGATTCTGGTGAGACGCTTGGCGCAAAGCATGCCTCTTGCACCTGTGCATGTCAACAACACGTTTTGCATTTTTCGGCGACCAAAATTTTTGAGTTTTCGCCGTGTCCAATGTGCGGGTGCCGTTCGGGTCCCTTCATAATAAATTCCATGGGTCGCTTGGCGCAGATTGTCGTTCTTGCATTCGTATAAATCAATAATACAATCATCACTTTCCGGGAATGATTTGAAATGTACTGAAGCCGATTTGCGGGTGCCTTCGGGGCACCAGCTGAACTCGGACCCAACTGAACTCTAACCCAGCTGAACTCGGACCCAGGCTGAACTCGGACCCAGCTGAACTCGGACCCAGGCTGAACTCGGACCCAGCTCTCGGACCCAGAAAGCCCAGACCCAGCTGAGTTCGGATCCAGCTGAACTTGGTCCCAGCTCAACCCGGACCCAGCTGAACTCTGACCCAGGCGAACTCAGACCGAGGCCCGCGCTGCAGCGGGAACGCCTGGATCCGAATTCAGCCGGGTGGGCTGCTGCTGCTGCTGCTGCCGCTGCTGCTAGTGCTGCTTGTGCTCCTGGCGGTGCTGCTGCTGCTAGTGGTGCTGCTGCTGGTGACGGTGCTGCTTGTGCTGTTGCTGATGGCGGCAGTGCTGCTCGTGCTCCTGATGCGGCTCGTGCCTCTGATGGTAGGCGTTCGCAGATTGGCTCAAGCAAAGCAAGGCTGCTTCCACACTCAAGGTTGCACGTCTCGCTCCTCTACTTTGGGTAGCATGCTTGTTCTGAGATGTTGCCTCCTGAGGTGCAGCTCTCTTCCCGATCGGGTGTGTCTTTTGTCGCGAGGCTGGCGCGTCGGGAAATTCAATTGTGTATCGATGAGGGGATGGTCGGGACGTTGACGAGGATGGTCCTTTCGCCTTGCGACAATAAAAAAAAAACACAGATCTTAGGAACCACCTCTAGAATACATATATGTATGTATATATATACAAATGTATATATATATATATATATATATATATATACTAGAACCATCTCGCGCTTCGCGCGCTCAAGTTCTAGCTAGGCTTGATCGGCTAACTCATGTAACTTAAATCTGATGTTGGTCGCTTCTTGCGTCCAGGGACTCTCTTGGAGGCCCTGCGAAAGCCTCGGAATCGTACAGAAGGGGAAGTGCGGAAACGCAGCAATCATGATTTCCCTTTGGATCTTCAACGATTTGGGGCCCTCAAAAGCTTCCAGGGTTCTTTTTTGGGAGGCGAGGGGGGTCTGAATTGTGGTCTTTTGTGCAAGAGTAGACCGGGGGCCAAGCTTGGAAAAACAAATAATTGATGGATTTCCATTCTTTTCCAGTTCCTCGGCGCTGTTCGGCGCTGTTTTTTGCTCGTGCCTCGCGGGTTTTGTTAGCCGGGCCCCTCCGGACCCCCTGGTGGGTCTGGAGGCTGGAGGCCTGGAGAGCCGTCGGAACGGTGTCTCGGGCTGCGCGGGAGCGTGTTGGGCCGTTCTTGACGTTCTCGGGGCTCCTTGGGGTCGTCTTGGGCTGTCCTTGGGCGTCTTGGGGGGGTCCGGGAAGCGGGGAGGCGCGGTGCCGGCCAGATGTCAGGGGATGTGTGGGATCTCCGAGTAGGAGCCCACTTTGAAAAACAGGGGGGGCTGGGTACCGGGCGCCTCTTCGGCAATTTTGGTGGTTTCTTGGCCCGTCTTGGACCCGTCCTGGGAGTCTTTTAGGCGGTCTTGTGGCGGTCTTGGACCGTTGGAAGCTCGAAAACGCGAGAAGGCCAAACACATTTGAGAGAGAACCAGCAAAATTGACGATTTGGGCCTCTTCGGGCTTGCCCGGGACGCCTCTCGGACCTGTCTTGGGGGCTTTGGAGGCCTCCTGGGAGCGTGGAGAGCCGTCTACAAGGTGTTTTGGACTGCTTGGGAGCGTCTTGGGCCATTCTTTACGTTCTGGGAGCTTCTTGAGGCCGTCATGGGCTGTCCTTCGGCGTCTTGGGGTCTCCCCAAGAAGCCGGGAGGCGCGGCACCATCCAGATGTCAGGGGATGTGTAGGACCCTCGAGTAGGAGTCCACTCTGAAAAAAAAAAATCTTGATTCCTTTTTTCGAACGATCATTGAGGGTTGGAAGCGGGAAAACGTGAGAAGGCGAAAAACATTAGAAAAACCAATGGGAATCAACGACTTGACCCTCTTTGGGCTCTCTCGGGACGGCTCTCGCAGCTCTTGGGCTGTTCTTGGCACCTCGTAGGGGTCTTTTTGGGCCTCTCAAGGATCGGGGGTGTTGGGTGCCTCTGGGTGGTCCCGGAGGCCTCTCGGAGGTTTCTGGGAGCCTCCTGCTCCCGCTCTTGGGCCCATCTTGGGCCTGTTCTGGGGTGGTCTGGGGCTGTCCTGGGCGCCTCTTCGCCAATCTTGGAGCCTTCTTGGCCCGTCTTGGGGCCGTCCTGCTCTTGGACCGTTGGAAGCTCGAAAACGCGACAAGGCCAAAAACATAAAAAAAAACAATAAACAATTACGATGTTGGCCTCTTCGGGACGATCCGGGACGCCTCTCGGACCTTTCTTGGGGTCTCTCGGAGGCCACCTGGGAGCGTGAAGAGCCGTCGGAAAGCTGACTTGGGCTGCTTAGGAGCGTCTTGGGCCATCCTTTCGCATTCTGGATGCTCCTGGGAGGCGTCTTGGGCCCTCCTGGAGCGCTGTGGAAGCTCCCCGGAAAGGCCGGCGGAGCGGTACTGGGAGCGTTCTCGAGATGTGGCGGGGAGGTGTGGGAGCCAGGGCTGGAGGGGGGCGGTATTTATCTAAACATATATACACATATATCTATATAGAATCAGAGAAGGAGGGGAAAGAGAGAGAGATAGAGAGGGAGAAAGAGAAAGAGAGATCCCTCTCTCTCTCTCTCTCGTCCTTGCCCCCGCAGCATCCCCGCACTGCGCCACGCTTTCCTTAGCGGCGGTGGCCAAGCGAACCAGCTCGCGCTGGATCTCCACCACGGTGAGGTTGCCGACGTCCTGGGCGACGGCGAGCTCCCCTCCTTCCCCTCCTTCCCCTCCTTCCCCCTCTCCCCAATTCCCACCAGCCCTTACTCGTAGGTGGAGTCACTCGGCGGCGCGCGAGGGGGGGAAGTGAGAAGGAGAAGGCCTTCTCAGAAGGCGGCGGGGGCTTCTCAGAAGCCCCCGCGCCTCCTGAGAGCTTCTCTGCGACGTCGGGGGAGGCTCTCAGAACGCTTCTCAGAGGACCGGGGGCACTTCCGAGCCTTCCGAGCTGCCCCCCCCCGCGCGCGCCGCAGGCTCCCGCCTCCCCCCAATTCCCACGAGCCCTTTCGCGTAGGTGGAATCACGAGCTCGGTCTTCCAGCCCCATTCTTTCTCATCGGGGACGGGGTCTTACCGCTGCTGCCTCCTGGTAACCGCCCAGGGTCGACGGGCGACCGGCCAAGAACAAGGTCGACGCCCCGCCCCGTCACCCCTTGTCAAGCAGACTAGAATACCATGCGCGGGACAGCCAAGAGCATGCGCGGGCGCCCCGCGATGGCATGTGAGTATCGTTTAACTGATCCCCGTCCCCAGTGGCGTGGCCTGGACCCCGCTGGCCGATTCGCCCCCCTAGATGGGGACATAGGTCGTTCTCGTCGGGTCTCGAGGGGTGCATCCCCAACTGGGGTGGTAATGTGGGCGGGGGTCTCAGAGGGAATGAAGATGGGGATGGGGATCGGTGAACCGATACCGAGCACGGCCTTGTTTTTTGTTGAAGGGGGCAATTGGGGCGGGGGCATCAACGTGCCCGCCGTGCGCAGGCCCATGGCCCCCGTCGGAAACGAAGCAGTGCAGCGTGATTGCGGGCACGCGCACCAAACATGTCGCTGCACCGACCTCGCAGACGTGCTGCGGCGGACGTGTGCGCGGACTCCTGAAAATGGCAGACCACAAACTGGCGAGTGAAGAACGAAGCGAATGCTGAATGTCGCGTGGATGTTGTCCGTCTTCACTCCTGGCCAACAACATCCGCACGGAATTCACCTCGGAATCTGGAACGACATTCTTCAGGACCCTCCGGGCCCATCCTATGATTTTTCGAACGAAATCCACTCTGCGGTGTTGGCGCCATGACACATGCTGATAATCCCGACGTCGCATCGCAGAGGTTCCATGAACAGCTTGTCTGGAAGGGCTCATACATGCTCCGTGAGGAGGCTGGGAGGTCCTGCATCCAATCTGCAAGAATACTTGCGCCTTCATCTCCCGTCATCCCTCTCTCCTCCATCAGAGCGGAACATGAAACGTCCTGCGGGAAGCCAGAATTTGTATACGCGAAACGTCGACAGCACTTCATACTTCCCCCCCCCCATTCCTCCCCCGTCCTCCCTCACTGCCTCTCTCCATCCCACCTCCTCCTCCCTCTTCCCTCCCCCTCCTCCTCGCCCTCCTACTCCTGACTCCATGCCTTCAGTTGAAGATGGCCAAAAGGGTACTCCATCCTGCCCCTGGAGGTCCAAGCGAAAGCATGCCAAGAGCCCAAGAGTGGGCACGACCATCGCACGACGCTGCGAGACGAGAATTCGTGGCGCAGCCGCACCGTCTTGAGGCTCGCTGTGCCTATAGCGATGCGGCCACCTTCATGTGCGCGATCGCAGATCGACAACCGTGAGGTGCACATAGTCAAGGCGCGGTCAGCTTCGTGCCCCAGCTGGTGACACTGCTTGCCTGATAGAGAAACGTGTAACCTCATCCATCGTGTAAGCACAGGGCAGCGCTTGCAAGGATATGTTGTGTCCTTGATGTTCGGCACCACCAGGCCATATGGAGAGTCGATGGCAACGCAAATGTTGTGGCTGCCGTAGACGGTGTACCTGGCGAGATGGGACTCTCATTAGCCTGCTAACTCACCTCCTCCGCGCCGCGACTGAGAAAACGCCGCCCTCTCGCTCACGGGCCTTGCGCCGTTGCGCACAGCATCGTGAGGAAAAAAGCCCTGGCGCAGCACCGTGCGTCGATACAGCCGCGACCGAAAGGCTGACCCTCGGAAGCACGCAAGGCTCCTCTGAAGACACCGTGGCGTGGCACGCCAAGGCCAATGGACATGATAAAGGGACCAGAGGGTCTGAGGAGGAGGAGGAGGAGGACGAGGTGGAGCAGGAGGGCTCGTGCAGATCTTGTCGAGGCCGATGAGGAGGAGGAGGAGGGGGAAGTATACTTGCCTCGTTCCGTCAACCCTTGACACATGTCGTAGATGACACGCTCGACATCCGCCGCCCTCACGTAGGCGGACCTGGCGCCTGTTGAAGCACTCCCGCCGCCCTCCGACGAAGAGGAGAAGCCAACCCCTCGACCCGTCGAAGGCGACACCTTTTCTGGAACGTCCTGCACTTGGCGCTGCACGGTCGACTCGCTCGTCGGTCAGAAGGGCGGTCTTACGCCGCCTTCCGGCGAAGAGACGACGCCAACCCCTCGACGCCTCGAAGGCGAATCCCTCTCTGGAACGCTCTGCACTTGGCGTTGCAAAGTCGACTGACTCCCTACCAGACCACCCCAACCCAACCCGAAGACCCGAATTTCGGGTTAGGGGGGGGGGTACGGGTTCCATATGTGTTTTCTCAATGTTCCCTGGCCCCCCCCCCCACTGGAAATGGAGGGCAAATTGAGGCCTTCGGGTTGGGCTGGGTGGTTTCGTGGGTGGTGATCGACTCGCTCGTCGGTCAGAGGTGCGGTCTCAGACCACCCCTGCCGCGCGCGCTCGGCCCCCGTGGCCTCCGCAGCGGCCGACCTCGCGCCCGCCCCGCCCCGCGGCGCTGCCCGAGCAAGGGCACTGCTGCCGCTGGCCGTGCCCAGTCTAGGGGGCCACATGCGAACCCTACCCCTACTCCTCCTCCTCCTCCTCCTCCTCCTCCTCCCTCCTCCTCCTCCTCCTCCTCCCTCCTCCTTCCTCCTCCTCCTCCTCTCCTCCTCCTCCTCCTCCTCCTCCTCCTCCTCCTCCCCCCCACGATTTCTGAGGGGGAGGGTGGGATTCACTTCGCTCGAGAGCTCCCGAACGAACCCCACCCTCCCCCTCAGAAATCGTGGGGGGCAGGGGTAGGGTTCGCATGTGGCCCCCTACAGTCAGCACCGAGTCGGGGCACCGGGCCGCATCGGAATCCGTGCCGCGTCGGGCTGCAGCGGCTCGGGGCACCGCCGTGCCACGCGAGCCTCGGGCTGCCTCGCATCGTCGGAGTATCGGGACCGAATGGGAGCTGGCCGGAAGGAACCGATCTCGACTCGGATAGATCGGGTCAAACTCGACACTGAAGACTGGAGAGAAAAAAGGAAATGGCGGCGACGGAGGAGGGCGACGACCACGGAACGAAGGGGGTGTGGGGGGGGAGGAGGCGAATCTGAACGCTTCCGAGAACAGGCCGCGCCCAATTGCGATCTGACCGACCGTTCGACTTCCCTCTGGCTTAAGCAGCCAAGCAGCCCCGTGGGTTGTGCCCCCCCAAAGAAGCAAGCGCCCGTAGCCGCTATCTCCCATGCACCGCCATCAAAGGTGCCTTAACGCTGCGCTGGACAACAGAAGCCGACTCCAATTGATGGACGATGCACGCATGTGGCGGCTCGACTTCGTTGACACACACACACACACAAAACTATAGAAAAGAAATGGCAGAACGGACACAACACATTATTGTCAACGGCAACGTGGGACACAAGGCGTCGGATAACAAAGCGGGGACGCAGCAGTGCTAGCTGCGCACCAACACACGTGAACAATCATTAAGAGCGGCCGCTTAGGGGCACCGTGAAGGGAGCCGCGCTCATAGCATGCAGCACTTCACGCGTGGTGCTGGCGGCCCTGGGCTCCAGAGGACACAGATCGCAGCGGGGTGTTCCCAGAGCGGACACAGCAAACGAGAGCACTCCGAACCAGACACGTCCACAACCGGCTCTTCAGGCACATCTCGCTCTCCACCCCGACTGCGAACACACTGCGGAGCCCAGCTGTGCACCCAACAGCGCAAGCAGTACCGTACGAGTGCCGCGGCACGCCTGGGCGGGTTGGCGTCGGCTGGTCCAAACTTGGAGTTGACCTTCGGGTGGTCGTTGAGGGCCAGGGACAGCGCCTTGATCATGAAAGACGTGACAGTGACCTGCCCGACCACCGAGGTACGCCCAACGATGTCCAAGTCGATGTGGGAAGATGGTGGGAGGGGAAGGGGGATGGAAAGGAGCAAGTTGACGGACTGGCCTTCGAATCCCCGTCCGCCCTCCTCCTCGCCAGGACTCCGACGCGGTGACTTCTTTGCAACGTTGTTGTTGTTGTTGCTGCTCATGAGCGCGACCGCAGAGCACAAGCACGCAATGCCTGTCCTTAGGCGAGGGATGTGCGACTGAGCATTAGATCCGCTTCCCCGCGTGGGGGGGCTTACATCCGCACCCATCGGGATGCAAGCTCGAGCTCGACAGCAGCAGTGACTTCTTTGCAACGTGGACCCCCAGAGGTGAGGTCGGGACCCAGTCCCGTGGACCAACTGTTCTTCCTAAAACGAGGATCTGCTGACCCGGGTCAATCCAGACCCAGGTCAATCGGGCCCTGGCAGGATCCTGCAAGATGCTGCACCCAGACCCGGGTCCATGCGAAGGATCCTGCAAGATCCTGAAGGACCCTGCACCCAGACCCGGGTTGGTGCGCCTCTGGCCCTGCAGGATCCTGCGAGATCGGGCGCTGGCTGACCCCCGTTTGCATTGACCCCCGTCTCTTGAGCCCCGATGTTCGTCCCCCTATCGCTGTCGCCTGGCGGAGCGACCCGAAGGGCGCACAACCACTGCCGAGAACACCCCGAGGCGAGGAGGCCTGGAGCAGCCTGGGGCAAGTCAGGAGTGCAGTGGTCATGGTACCACAAACGGGGCGCCAACAATTACACCAAGAAGAATCCCAGTCAGTGGACCAACCCCCGTCTCCAGGCCCCCGCCTACATCGTTTCTTCCCGGTGCCGGGGGCCCGGTGCGGGGCTCTGGCCCGCTGCTGCCGCACGGGCGCTCGCGGGGCACTCCCGGGGGCTCGCTGCAGAGCCGAGTGGGCGCGTCCAGCATCTCGGCCGAGAAGGAATCCTCCTCCTCCTCCTCCTCCTCCTCCTCCTCCTCCTCCTCCTCCTCCTCCGTCTCCTCCTCCTGCTCCTCCGCCGCCATCTGCTCCTCCTCTTCCTCCTCCGTCTTCTCCTCCTCCTCCTCCTCCTCCTCCTCCTCCTCTGGCGCATTTGTTTCCGACCCCATCAATCTACCCCGACCGCACCTGGGCGCCCCTCGTCCACTCTTCAGAGCAGGGCCACCACTCCGTCCCCGAGCGGGTGACCCGGGCGAGGCCGGAAGCCCCGCCGAGACCGGGGAGGAGGGGGGCGATCTTGGCCTGGGGCATTCGAGGATCAGGCGGCATCGAACCTCGACGGCGTCGGTTCGGAACGCGCGTCGGATCTGATCGGCCTGCATCGGCACGGCATCCAAATCGAGTCGAATCGCCCGCGCCAGGATGCACAACAACGCCAAACAAACATCGGGGCGCATCGGATCGTCGGACGTCGGAATCGAGTCGGATCGATCAAACCTGAATGGACCCTGGGCTGAGTCAGGACATCACCTTTGCAAGGAAATGCCAAACTAACCCTGGGAATTCCTTCTTCTCTGGTCTGGTCAGGGCCCCACGTCTCCTACAAACCCAGCACAGCCTGTGTTCCCCACCTCTGCTTCGGAGATTGCCAGAGGTGGCCCTGGCACGAGGTGCGCCCAATTTTCGCACCCTGGAGGGGCTCGCGCGGTGCATACGGTCTAACACCGTGCGGTGCAGCGCGTCAGACACATCAGGGAGAGAGGAAGGGATGTGGGTCGGGAATGGGCAACAGGTGGGTGGGACATGGAGGTACATGGATGGAGGACGTTGAGGAACCGTGGAGAAGGCGTGACATCGCTTGCTTGTCCTTCTCTCAGGGCCGCCGTGGGCCATCCGAGGCTTTTTTTCGTGTTTTCCCCTCGACTCTCGCTCCTGATGTTGTCCAGCTCTGACCTTCTTTCTGCTATTCCTGCCTGTGGTGACTGACTTGCTGTCGCTCTTATCCTTGGTGGTAGTGGTGGTGACTCCCTAATCAGTGTTTGCATTGAGGGGGTCCTCGCAGAATGTGCAGCGATTTTGCGGATCAAGTGCGGGTTTCCTTGGGCGGCTAGGTTCCTGGGCTCCCAGTTCTGGATCAAGGGCTCCCCGTGATGAAATGATTGACGGAAGGAGTGCCCTTGATTTCTGTAGGGTTCTGGGGCTTGTAATTCTGAGCCTCGGTGGCCATTGCCCGCGGATTCCAACGTCCAGCTGGGTTCTCAGGTTCGCAAAATGCAGGTATAGGGAGTGGAGGGCGTAGAGAATAATGTATGTTAGAAAGAGTGGGAAGAGAGAGAGAGAGAGAGAAAACAAAAACGGGAGAACAGGAATAGTGGTGCAAGTGTACACACATATAGAGAGAGGTAGAAAGAAAGAAGGAAAGAGAGAGAGAGAGAGAGAGAAACAAGAGAGAGAGAGAGAGCGAGAGACACAACAACAAGCCAGATAAAGATAAAGAGGGGTACAAGGAACGAGGAAGAGAGAGAAAGAGAGGGGCATCCCTCGATATACATATGCATATCTTTTCATATATGCATATATATAAATATATATATGCATGCACAGCTAAAGAAACATACACAGAAAGACACGTGTGATAACGAGGGGGAGAGAGAGAGAGAGAGCGATACATATACCTCTGTATGGATACGTGTAAACAGTGCTTGCTCAAAGGATTATCACTTGTCGTCTGAGGACATGAGCTCGGTTATCGGGCCCGCCGCCTTGTTGCAGCCGTCGCCGCGCTGTCGCCGCCTCATTGCCCCCGGTCGTCTGGGCTCGTTTGTCGGGTCCGCCGCCTTGTTGCCGCCGTCGCCGCCCCGTCGCCTCCCGTCGTCTGGGCTCGCTTGTCGGGTTCGCCGCGTTGTTCCCGCAGTTGCCGCCCTGTCGCCGCCTCGTCGACACCGTTGGCCGCCGCCCCGCTGCACCCGATCGATTGCAATCCAACCGGTTGCAATCCAACCGATCGATTGCAATCAAATTGACGGAAGCCACTAGATGTCACCAAATAGGTTGCACCAAGCACACATGTGAACACCTATCTATATATATATATATACACAAACATACAGATTGCACCACATAGGTTGCACCACCTACATTTGAACACATACATAACACCACATTGAATCCCCTGCTCAAAAAAAAAAAAACGATCGCCCTCCCCCGACTGAATGGTACCCCCATTGCGTATTGCAATTTGCATGTGAAGCTGCCCCATCGCCCATCCTAGGTATGAGCACGTAGCATCCCAGGCAGGCCTGTATCGCCCCTGCTCATCCGTGGCAGAGAAAAGCTCTACGCTCGCGCACTCGATTATCACAAATCACAAGCTTGCAACAATCCGTTCCGAAAACGGAACTAACTGTGCACGCACGAACCGTCGCGCGCGCATGCCGGCATCCTTCAAAAAACGTGGGTTTCTTATGGGTTTCCAAATCGAACGGCCCGAACACATGCAACAACCACGCGGTTTTGCAGCATCAATTTTCCAAACATGCCTGCGCGCGCTGCGGCGGATTCCTCAAAACAAACAAACGTTTCAACTTTGATACCACATTCTGCCAAACGGGTTTCTCGCGTCGCATGACGGATTTTTGCGAACGCCAATGCGCGTGCGGTGGTGCGGGGGCGGGGGGGGGGCACGATCCGTGTCAAATAATATCACGCGGGCCTCTCGCGCGTGTCGGCCGCGCGCGCATGTCGAATTCTTTCCAAAACCTTCATCAACGACGCGAAAACATCGTCATCGTTATCGGCAGGCGTGATCCAAATCGGCGCCGTCATTGGCCTTGCCGTCGTCATCCCCACCATCGTCACCATCATCGCTACTCGCATCATCATGTCTACCGTTGTCGGCGTCGCCATGATACCGTGCCCGCCCATGTCACCGACTCGCACTGACGTGCCCGCTGGAAAGGCCCATCGGTCAACGCCACCGCGGCCGCGTCGGTCGCGCCGCACCAGCTGGTCGCTGCGCGCGCGAGCATGCTAGCGCGGCCCCAGAGATGCACCAACCAACGCCAAACACTCATCGCAATCGCCGCCGCATGGGTTTTGACAACCAAATTGCGGGTGGGTGGGTGGGATGTTTGCGCGAGCAGTGGAGTTGACAACTTCAAGTTTGGCTAAATGAATTTTCCTTTTCTGTACAAATGTTCGGATCTATCCCCCCTCCCGGAATTAACGGCCCACCTTTTCGTATTGCAATTTACATATGATTATGCCCCATCGTCCATATCAAAAATGAATTCATACCATCCTGGGCAAACCCGGCTGGTGCGGCCACAGGGATTCACCAACCAAATTGTGGGTGGGTGGGCGGGATGTATGCAGTGGCGTGGCATGTGTAAACTGATTTACAAGACTAAATTGCACCACGTAGACTGCATCGTAAACGCTGCGCCAAATAGGCTGCACCAAAAAAACATTTCCTGCTCGGGAACAAACAGGGTCCACCACCCACCCACCCCTTCTTCATCGGTGCACCTCTCTGTGTTGCAATTTACTCATGATTCAGCCCAATCGTCCATCCTAGATATGAACTCGTACCATTCCAGCCCAGCCGGTCTCGATCCCCCCCCCGCCATCCTCTGCAACAAACACTATGCGCACACTTGTTCATCACAAAACACTATGCGCGCACACTTGTTCATCACAAATGATAAGTTTTCAAAGATCCCTGGCAACAAAAAAACAAAACGAAGAGCACACGCGCGCGTCGTCGCGCGCGCATGCCGGAATCATTCAGTAACCTTCGTTGTCGGAAGGATTTCAAAATCGCATGCCCGAAAAACCTTTTTAAACATCACACATGGTTTCGCAACGCGGATGCTATTTTGTTATATATATATATATATATGTATAAATAAATATGTATATATTAGAAAACAGGAGAAGTGCGCGCGCTTTTTCGAATCCTTGGTAAAACCATTGTTTTCAACATTGTCATAATATACTACCAAACGAGCTTCGCTCGCGCGCGCAAGTCAACAGCGTTTGCACACCTTGCGCGCGTGCCGTCGCGAGAATTGCTAAAAACAAAACGAAGCGCACACGCGCGCGTCGTCGCGCGCGCATGCCGAAATCATTCAAAACGGTTCGGATTCGTGACGAATCCGAAACCGAATATCCTAACAAACATCAAATCACAAGGACTCGCGTCATTAATTGTCGAACAAACTTGCGCGCCCGCTCGTGCGAAGTCTTCAAAGCACCACCGACTTTTGTACAAATTCATGGAATTCTGCCAAACGGGCCTCTGGCGCCGCATCCCGACATCATTCGTACGCCCTTTGCGCGCGTGCTGGAGGGGGGCACGGTCCGTGTCAAATAGAACCATGCAGGCCACTCTCGCGCGTCGGCCGCGCGCGCATGTCGAATTCTGTTCAAAACCTTCATCACCGACGCGAGGACGCCGTCGTCGTCGTCGGCGTGATCAGCATCGGCGCCCGCACTGGCCGCGCCTTCGTCGGTGCGAACATTGTCATCAACATCGCCACTATTATCATCGTGTCTGCCGTAGTCGGCGTTGCCTTGATACCACGCCGCCCAAGTCACCGACTCGCAGTGAAGTGTCCGCTGGGGGATGCGCCCAGCGGTCAGGACCACCGCGGCCGCGTCGGTGGCGCCATACAAGCTGGTCGCTGCGCGCGCGTTTTACGGTTGGCGCGGCCGCAAAGATGCACCAGCCAACGCCAACCATAGATCGCAATCGCCACCGCATGGGTTTTGCAAGCCAAATTGCGGGTGGGTGGGTGGGATGTTTGCAAGAGCGTGGGAGTTGACAACTCACGGCGAGCAAAAATTAACCACACCACATGGATTCCACCGCATAAAACTGTTCCACGCAGGTTGTCCCACACACAGATCGCATGTATACCGCCACGCGTATATTACACAACCTAGATTGACCAACCTAGATTGCACCACGTGTGTTGCCCGACCGATGCTGCATGACATAGGTTGTGCCACACATTGCTAGACATGCACCGTTTGGGGCCCACGCTGGCTAACATTCCTCGATCAGTGCTTGCTCTTCAGGGTTCACACATCTGGTTGGCGGCTATGTTCCCGCCGTCGCCGCCACCGTCTCCGCCCCAATCACCGCCTCGTCGCCGCCCGTCGTCGGGCCGTGTCTTCGGTCTGGCGGCTGTGTGGCCGCCGTCGCCGCCTCGTCGCCGCCCGTTCCCGGGCCATGTCGTCGGTCTGGCGGCTATGTGGCCGCCGTCGCCGCCACGTCGACGCCTCGTCGCCGCCCGTCGCCTGGACCGTGTCGTCGGTCTGGCGTCTATGTGGCCGCCGTCGCCGCTTCAGATATTGCAACACATACATTGGACCACATGGATTGCACCACGTAAGTTGCCTGACATAGATGGCACAACATAGTTTGCACCACATAAACTGCACTACATGGAGCGCCAAACCTAGGTTGCAAGCCTTACACTGCACCATGTGTATTGCACAATCTGGATCGCAAACATTAGGTTGTACCACACGGGACGTCCAACATAGATCGCAGCAGGTAGATTGCGCCACGTAGATCAGATCGCACAGCGTATGTATTGCACAACTGATATTTCACCGCACCGACTGCACCACACAGGTTGCACAACAGAGATCGCGCAACCTATATTGTACAGCACAGGTCGCATCACATGGTTTGCACCACATAGGTTGCCCCGCATGCATTGCACCATATAGGTTGCACCGCGCACCGTGGCCCACGCAGATCGCATAGCAGACGTTGCTAGAAACACACTGTGGGGCTCACTCTGGCTAACACCTGTACGTACAGAGAGAGGGAGCAAGCGAGAGAGAGAGAGAGAGAGAAAAAAGAGAGAGAGAGAGAGAGAGAGAAAGTGAAACAGAGATAGAGAGAAAGAGAGAGAGAGAGAGAACACACGCCAAACATGCACAACACACGTACAGCACCGCAGCCCCGGCGCCTGCAGACAAAAACGTGAGGGCGCGGGGGGTCTTCGGCACAGCTGCGAGGCCCGGAAGCAGCTGTGCAGCTGCCGAGGTGCCCACACAGCGGGCTTGCCGCAGGCGCCGACGCTCCCCGACAGCGCGGACGGGCCCCTCGACGAAGAAGCCGCCGGCGACGCGCGACGGGCGGGCGGGCGCCTCGCGAGGCGGGCCGTGGGCACGGTGCGGAGTGGCATGCGGGGCGGCTCGCCCAAGGGTCGCGGGGCAGGAGGAGGGGGAGGAGGAGGAAGGAGGAAGGAGGAAGGAGGAAGGAGGAAGGAGGAAGGAGGAGGAGGAGGAGGAGGAGGAGGAGGAGGAGGAGGAGGAGGAGGAGGAGGAGGAGGAGGAGGAGGAGGAGGAGGAGAGGAGGAGGAGGAGGAGGAGGAGGAGGGGGGGAAGGAGGAGGAGGAGGGAGGAGGAGGAGGAGGAGGGGGGGAGGAGGCGCACCGCGGTCTCCTCGGAGCTCCCCGCTGAGCCCCAGAAGCGTACACAGGGGTCCCAGCAGCGGAGGGCGAACGGCGACCCTGACGGCCTCAGCGAGCCGTGGCAGGAGGGGTACGCAGGAGGAGGAGGAGGAGGAGGAGGAGGAGGAGGAGGAGGAGGAGGAGGAGGAGGAGGAGGAGGGGGAAGAGGAAGAGGAGGAGGAGAAGGAGAAGGAGGAGGAGGAGGCTTTCGGAGTCGTCGTCGCCGACGCCGCCGTTTGCAGAGTCGGCGTCGCCGCCGCTGTCACACGAAGCGGATCAGGAGGCGGAGGGAGCGCGCCTTGACCCACAAGCGTGTCCGCGGTCCGCCGCGCTCCTCCCCCCCTCCTCCCCCCCCCAGACTTCGAGTGGGGGATCGACTACAACATCGATGTGCCCCAAACTGGATGTCCCGTCGAATCTAACAACAAAAACATAGCTTGTTCTGTAGATCTGCTGAGCATTCTACCGTTTCCCGTCGCTTCGACGGAACCTCACATCTTGGGGTTACTGACCCCTGCCCTCCCGCGGCGCCGGCCCCAGCGCGCCCCAAAGCAAGATGGCCGCCCTCTCCGCCGACGGCCGCCCCGGCGCCCGCCCGACACCGGCCGCCGCGCCCCTCTGCCCCTTGGGCGCCGTCCTGCCCGCCAGGCGGCTGGCGCCGACCCCGATCCAGGCCGCGGCGCCGAGCGACCCCACCCTCTCCAGACCTGCTCGCGAGGTGAAGGGCTGTAGCAACTCATGGGAGCCTCCCATACCATCTTGCCGCCTCTTGTGAAGCGATGCTAATCGACGTTCGTCGACGCTAGATCGACGCCACTCGACGCTAATCGACGCTACTATCGGCGCTAGATCATCGACCACCAGACGCTGCTCGACGCGAGTCGACGCAAAAGACATACTTTAAAGGGTACACACGGCTCTCACGGCTTGCCACGAGACCCTCGCTGGGCCCAGCACCGTCAATAGAGGCCTCCTGGATGGGCTCGGAGTAGATGGGGTCGAAGGATCGCGCCGCATCGCTGATGCATCGGTGATGTCTCGGCGATGCATCGGCGATGGAACGGCGACGCATCGTCGACGTCGCTCCCCATCGAGCCGCAACGGCGATGCATCGGCGATGCGGCGCGATCCTCCCACTCCATCTGCTCCGACCCCATCTGGGAGGCCTAGAGACCGCCAAGGACTACTCGGGACGAAAAGCCATTTCGGAGCTTTCCAAGCGGGGCGCGGCCAACAAAAGTGGCCAAGGATGGACCGAGGAAGCAAGGATACAAGGGTACCCTTGGGAAGGTCGCCCATCCTTACTGTGCTGGTTGACTGTACTCGGAACGAAAAACTCGGCCCCGGGAAAAGGGTCCCGGACCTGCGGGGCCCATGCTGTGACAAGACCGAGACACGTCGGACTCTGGGCCCACCCATCTCCCAAAAAGCACGCACGCGTGGTGTTTCAGCGCGGCCAGGGGTCAAACATCGGCGCACGCGATCCGCGGCCTGAAGTCACCAAAACAGGCCCAGCAAAAAGGCTCTGGCTAGGGAGGCCCTCCCTGACCAAGCCCCTTAGGAGAAGAGGAGGAGGAGGAGGAGGAGGACGAGGAGGACGAGGTGGATGAGGTGGATGAGAGAGGAGAGAGGAGGAGGAGGAGCAGGAGGAGGAGGAGGAGGAGGCGGGAGAAGAGAGGAGAGAGGAGAAGGGAGGCCCTCCCCAACCAAGCCCTTGCTACCAAGACCCCCGAGCCTCGAGCCTCCCCTCTTTCCGTCGGGGGGCGCCGCGAGCGGACGTCGGCGAGGCGGCGCCGGCAGATCGGCGACGGGCCCCGCGGGCGAACCCGCGCGTGCCCGGGCGCCTCGGGGCGGTCGGGCCCCCGCCGGCGATGGCTCGATGCATGCCCCCGCGAGCCTGCCCCCCCCCCTCGGGGATCTTGAGGGGCGGCGGGGACGAGCCGACGCGCCCGAGGAAGCGGCAGAGCGATCCGCACAGACGCGAGCTGCCGGGCCAGACGCGCGCGGGGCGGGCACGGGGCGGGAGGGGAGAGCGCCACGCCGCGGTCACCTCGGGGATCTTCTGACCCGGGTCAATCCAGACCCGGGTCAGCAGGAAACCCAAAGCTGCAATGCGGGGAGAAACAAACACTGCAACGCAGGTCCTCGCAAACCCGGGTCATCCAATAGGCGCGGCCGCCTCGCGGCTACGAGCGGCTCGCTAGCCCGAGTCAGCCAAAGGGGGCCTTCGCAGGATCCTGCAGGACGCCCGTCTCAAGGCTCCCGACCCCCGCCCCCGAGCGTTCCCCCGGGGTGGTGGCCTTCGTGCCGTACGCCTTCTCGGAGGTGCCCTTCAGCGCCTTCTGCAGCGCCACCATGTTCTGCGCGGGCGCGCGGCGCGGAGGGAGAGAGAGAGAGAGGCCAAGGATGCCAGCAGGGGGGGGCCACCCTGCCGGCCCGCGAGGCGCGGGGCTCGCTGATGGCGCGCCCGCGCTGCCCAGAGCGCCCCTCGCCAAGACGCCGCGGCGGGGAGAGAAGGGGCCGTGGAGGCGGGGGGGAGGGAACCGAAACGATGAAAGCGGAGGTACGTGAGGCGATGCTTGACGCGGGATTACACGCTGCGAACACGAGGCCAGCGCGGGCACGGGAGCGCTGCGGGCTCCCAAGCGGAAGCGGCAAGGGGAGAGAACTGAACGGGGCAAGAGGGTGCGGACCCTGACGGGCGCGTCGGGCGGGCGGGGCGGGTCCAGAGAGCGAACCCTAACGGGCGGGCGGGCGGGCTTGCGAAAACGCCGAACGGGCGGACCCTAACGGGCGGGTCGGGCGGACGGACCCTCGAGGACAGGTCGGGCCCGAACGGGTGGGTCGGGCGGGAGGGTGTTTTTGAAAGCGGATTTCGCACACTGCAAAGAAGCATCAGGCGAGAGTACGAGGTCCTGAGTACAGTACGAGGCGGTTTCGCGCGAGAACGTGATTCATGGACGTCGAGAGCGCAGCGCCATATTAGATTGTAAAGAATCTTCGAGCGAGAGCGCGATCTGGAACAAACTGACCAGAAACATCGGCGGGAACCATTGCTGTTGTAGTTTGAGGACCAATGGGCTCAGTTTGAGGCTCAAGACTATCCCTGTCCCTGGTCAACGGCAGGGTGCGAACCTTTCGGGGGGCACTTCAATTGAAGGATACATTGGGCACTGGGCATCGGGGATCAATCGGCTATTATTCCTTCAGAAATGTAAATTGAGCCAAAATTCGTAGTTACCGTGGAAGCCCACCTCAGCCATGCACCCACGGACAATGTAAGACCGTTCTTCACACTCACTTTGATATTATGGTGTCGACTGGCTCGGCCCAAAATCAAACTCAACGCATATGCCTCCCGGGAAGGCACTCCACACGTGCACGGATTCATGGGAACCGTACGCGCAGCGCGTCAACTGCTTTTGGACTACTTACCAGACCCCCCCAACCTAACCCGAAGACCTGGGATGCGGGGGGGACGGGTTCCAAATGTGTTTTTTCAATGCTCCCCGACGCCCGCCCACTGGGAATGGACCGCAAATTGGGGCCGTCGGGTCGGATTGCACAACACGCACATCTGAAGGCACCCCAAAAAGGTACTGATACGGCTAGTCTCTGGACCTCTCCCGGGATGCGTTCTGACAACAATTTCGAAGCGAATCCAGCGGTGGCGACGAGGGACTCCAAGGAGGGCAACGGTATGGGCAGCGAAGGGGTAGCGGCAAGGGTACCGCTTCCTCCTCTGAATATCTGGCAGGCCCCATGGGGAAGGAAGACGTGCAAGCACACGTGTTGCGAGGGTGCTCCATCAGAAAGACCTGGCCACCGCAGCACGGACCCCCCGTGCCCCAGCACGGGTCTGCAACCTGCGAAGACTCCAAGGAGGAGTTCGTGCCACTCCCGGGGCGTGCGGCGTGGCAACCCCCTGTGGTTGTGCAGAACTTGGGGCTACGCGGGAAAGACAAGCGGCCGTGGGGAGATGCTAACCGCCGAGCCGCACTCCAACTCTCACAAGACGGCCCCCCAACCACCCAAAGCGGTCGCCTCCGACCACAACATGGGAAGGGAAAACATAGATGGCCTGGAGGCGAGCGAAATCCCCAGTAGCACGATCGCTTGCAAAGTTAATCGAGAGGAAAGCAAATCACGAGCTCGTGCACATGCGACAATGATTGAACAAAGAAAACAAGCGTTGGACATCCGCAGCATGGCGCTAATCCACTGAGGCACTCCTCCTCCTCCTTCTCCGCCTCGACTTCCTCCCCTTTCTCCTCCTCTTCTCCCGTGTCCTCCTCCTCCTCCTCCTCCTCCTCCTCCTCCTCCCTCCTCGTCCCCCTCTCTCCCCCTCCAGAAACGTCTTGGCTCAAACTCGTCGCGCTGCAGACTCCGCCGCCGCGCGCCCTGATGCCGGGTTCGTTGGATGCCCGCGCAGTCGCGTGGCTGGAGGCCGTGCGTGGCGCGATGCTGGCAGTGCACGCCGCCGCAGGGCTCTGCAGCAGCGCGGAGTTTCGTGGAGTGACCCGACCCGCTCGTGCAGCTGAAGATCTACTCTGGACGGCGGTGGCCGTGCTGGCCAGGTCCACCCCTCCCGCGCCTGCTGCGGTGCCCTCGGCGGAGCCCACGGTGGCCCCGCGGCGGCGGCGTTGGCCTCGCGGTGGCGGTGGCGTGGCGCGCATGGCAGTGGATGGCCAGCAACACGTCGCACGTGGAGGTATGGACGTAGATCGTGGCGCGGCTGGAGTTGCAGCTCTGGGGGGGTGCTGCCATTGCCGCGCCGATGCTGGAGGACGACAACTGGGCTGAAGATCTGCCGCAGGTGCAGCAGCGGAGCCACCCGTCTTCCAGCACAACACCACGCGCGGGCAAGACAACTGGCAAGGGCGACGGGAGCAGCGGCAAGGGCAGGCATGCTGGATTGGAGATCTTGCAGCTTCGGCAACTCGTCGGCCGCCTGGCTAAGCTCGTGAGGTTACCGCTGCCGATGGCGCCAGGGCGTATCCCACTCGGCCCCGAGGAGCTGATCGCAGTGGCCTGCAGCTTCACGGAGGCACAGTCCACGAACGGCGGCTCTGGCGCCTCCTCCTCCTCCTCCTTCTCCTCCTCGCCTCCCTGTTCTGCTTCTTCTTCTCTTCATCTGCTCTCTCCTCGTCTTCTCCCTCCTCCTCCTCCGTCCTTCTCCTTCTCCTCCTCCTCCTCCTCCTCCTCCTCCTCCTCCGTCCTCCTCCATCCTCTTCCTCCTCCTCCTCCTTCTCTACTCCTATTCCTTATGCGTAACTTATTCCTTTCCTGTCGCACCCCGGGGCCAGTCGGAAGGGCGGGCTGGGCGTTTCGCCTGAGACATCCCTACCATTTATAAGCCTGAAGCGTACACCCTGGCAACACTTTCACGTGAGGGCCGGTGGTTTTCAGAAGCGCCGCGTCTCAAACATTTGCAAGAGCTCTACGGATTGAGGGACGGTGGTTCTCAACATGTGGCTCTCGCGAAAGCGCCACGTACATTCGATTCAGATTTTGCGAGAGCGTCACGGACTGTGGCCAGGCCGTTTTCAAAATGTGGCTCTCGCCACAGCGCCGCGCACATTCGCTTTGAACATTTGCAAGAGCTGCACGGATTGAGGGCGGGTCGTTTTCAAAATGTGGCTCTCGCCTAGCGCAGCGCGCATTCAAACTTTGGCAAGAGTTTAACTGATTGAGGGCGGTTGCTTTTCAACATGTGATTCTCGCATTGGCGCCACGGACACTGTCTCCAAACGTTTGCAAGAGTTTCTCATATTCGCATGCTCAACGTACCAGAAATGGGGTTCGGGAACGATTCAGGATTGTCAGGGCACAAGAGTCACGTTGATTTGCGGTGTCGAGTTTCCAGGAATGCTCTTACGCGATTCAGGATCGTCACGATGCACCTGTCAGGATGACTCGTGGCGTTGAACTCCTGAGAAAGGTGTTCTGGCGCGCTTCTGGATTTTCATACGATTGTCCCCCAACGGGGCACTTCTCTCAATGTAACTTTAAAGGCACCCTTGCTAGGGCCCTGTGCAGAGGGAGCTTGGAAGGAGAGTGCATCCTAACTTCGCTGATGAGGCTTGGGTTTGCACTGGTCCTCCTCCTCCTCCTCCTCCTCCTC